AATTTCTCTATTCAAAAATTATATTAAAGTAACATGACTATAATTGATTGATATATATAAAAGAAAGAATCATAATATTTCGTTGAATTAAAAAAACTTTATATCTTACCTATTACATCTAACGATTAATATTAAGTTATTACATTAAATTATTTTACATAGTGCTTTAAGTATACATATAAAACATATTGTAATTTTTTTTTCATTTTTAATCATCTTACAGTAAAAGCAAGATATGGAGAAGATGCTACATTTTCAGAGGATGAGTTCAGTGATAGTAGTTCATCAGAAGATGAGAATGTATGTTAATTTCTAATTTGTTTAACAAATTATTAATTACTGTTATCATATATTTTATCATAAATATTTTCTTAACTTAATAGATTTTGTATTTTGTCTCCTTTTCATCTCATAAAAATCTAACTTTGTGTATAATAATACTGATTTTAAAAAATGCATAATAATAATTATAATAATAATTAATTCTTTTTAGATTCAGGATCCAAATTTTGATAAACAGTTTCTCATAACATTGGCTTGTTTGAAATCTGAAGATCCGAGCATATATAATGAAAAAGTTTTTAATGATATTGAGAAACCTGGAACATTGGAAAGTACTGAAGCAAAAGAAATAAAAAAGAAAAAGTTAAAGAAAGAGAAACCTATTTCTTTACGCGATTATGAACGTAAGATAATATTAGAGAGAGATGGACGGTTTAGTAGCAGCGAAGATGAAGATGCAAAACAGAGAGCTGAATTTAAAACGTCCACTTATGTGCAGGAACAAAAAGAATTAAGAGATAGTTTTAAACATGCTCTAAAAGATGAAGACGAAAAGGATAATGAAGATGACTTTTTAAAAATAAAACAAAAGACAGAAGATGAAAAACACAAAGTATAGTTTCAATGATTACACTTTTACACATGTATCTATGTATATGTATGTATTATTTTGTATAATGCTATTATTATTTTATTTAGGAAGAAGAATCATATAAGGAGTGGTTGAAAGGTCAAGAAGTGAACATAGATCTCAAGGACAAAGAAATTCTTAAACCATTACGCGATTTTTGGTTGAATCCCAATTTAGATTCAAATGAGAAATTTTTAAGAGATTATATTTTAAATAATAAATATATGGAGAAAGAATCATATGATGTTGACTTAGAATATAATCAAATTATTCATGACAGCGATGAGAACTTGTCAGAAGATGAAAAGACTATTGAAAAGCAAGAGGCATTTGAACGTAAATACAATTTTAGATATGAAGAACCTGATCAAGAATATATCAAAAAGTATGAGTTCTTATTTAATATAAATGTTAATTATTAAATATGCTAAAATTTTTTTTATTCGTGAGTTTTATGTTTTACTAAGGTATCCACGAACGATGGAAAACTCAATGCGGAAAAAAGATACGCGCAGAACTCAAAAGAGAGCAGAAGTTAAACAAAGAAAAGAGCAAGAGAAACAACAAAAGAGAGAAGAACTAAAGCAATTGAAGGCATTGAAAAGAAAAGAAATAGAAGATAAAATAGAAAAATTGAAAGAAATCACAGGTAACATAACTTTAATTTTTAAATCAAGGTAAAATTTATTAAATTATTCAACATTATGTTATGTCTATTACAGGAAATGGTGATATGCGCTTCGATAACGTTGATTTTGATTCCGATTTTGATCCAAATGAACATGACAAAAAGATGAAAGAGATTTTTAATGACGAATATTATGCTGGTGGTGAAAATGAAATGCAGAAACCAGAATTCCCAGAGATTGATGAAGAATTGGATATTGAGAAGTGGGACTTTTATGATCCAACTACAGATAAAATTGACGTAAAAACTGAACAATACGAAGAACCTCATTGTGAAGATCCAGATTTTAATGTACTTATTATAACTTATCTATTATATATAGTGTGTTTTACTAATATATTTAATGTGGGAACTGTACTAGTCATCTGATTATAGATGGATGCAGATTACGATGAATCTCGAGATTTGCAGTCCGAAGTCATAGAAAATACAAAAAAGAGGAAACGAAGGAAACGTTCTAAATTTGCTGAACTTATAGCAAAAGAGAAACCGAAATTTAATCCAAAACAATTTCCTTCATATGCAAATTATTTTGATCAATATTATTCGCTGGATTATGAGGACATGATTGGAGATTTGCCTTGTAGATTTAAATATCGAAAAGTAGTGCCAAACGACTATGGATTAAGTGTTGAAGAAGTAAGTGTTAATTATGTAAAATTTATTAATATATTAAAACCAATAACTCTAATTATTTCTAATAACATAATAATTTTTATAATTTATAATTTAATAAATATACATACATTCTCTTATTTCAAGATTTTAATGGCTGATGATAAAGAGTTAAATAAGTGGTGTTCTTTGAGACAAGCTCTTAAATATAAATCAGAACACGTAGAAAATAATGAGATTCAAATATATAAAAAAAAATCAATGAATGAAGCAAATAAGCGAAAAATTCTTAAGAGTTTATATACGTAAGTATTACACGAGGATTAAGAACATATGATATATTTTATACATATTATAAATTACATATTACTTTCTTATATAGCGAACCAGAAGAGAAAGAAGAAGAAAAAGGCGAAAATGTTATTGAACAAACTGAAACTAATAATAAGAAACGTAGGCGAAAGAAGAGAGCTAAAACCAGTAATCCTAATGCAGAGTTTACAAATATTGATATTGTTTCTAAAGAAAAAATTATGCATATAACAGAGAATGATGTAGAGAATAATTTACATAATAATAGTAAAGATAAAAGTGGAAAGGAGGAAAAAAATGAGGATGTACAAGAGAAAAATACAGTAAATAAGAATAAAAAACAGAAACGAAAGAACAACTTAAAAGTCAACAGCAATGCTCCGATTTCTAAAAAAATGAAAATAGATAACACAACGACGGAAGATTCTCAAATAAAAATGGACATTAATAACATAGACAATAATAACAAAAATAGAGACATCGTAGAGATTAATAAAAAAATTAAAACAGAAAATAATAACAAAAAGATAGCTATTGACAAATTTACAGGTAAGAGGAAAAACAGGAATAATAGTTCTCAATTTAACCAAATGAATGAAAGAAGCAAACCAAATCATAATGATCCAACGATGTCTTTGAATGCAGAAAGATTGAAGACATATGGAATAAATGCTAAGAAATTGAAAAATAAATTAAAATATGGTAATAAAAGATTTTAAGTATGGATTTTCTGTATTTGTATATTCATAAATGTAGCAAATATAAAATCATATGTATATGATTTTAAATTCTAAGCATTTATTTATTAGCATTTACTAATATTTTTCTATAGATGTAATGTATGTACATATATATACGATATAAATAAATAGAAAAATGTATCAATATATATAGGCATGACAAGTCTAATATATTATAAAAGCGCGCGCGCGTACACACACACACACACACACACACACACACACACAAAAGTGAATAAGAGACAACAGTCAGCGACTGCGCGCACCCTCGAGTAGGAGTGGTCTCGAGTTAGGGCGGATCCGCTTTTGGATGATAAACGACGTTTGCGGATTATTAGGATCATACGCTACTGTTTGTGTTTGCCTATATCCAACAATTTCCATCTCTAATCCAGCCCGTATGCTTCGCTCGAGAGAAAACAGCCCATTGATCGACGCGTTACGGATTTCATTTCACCTCAACCGAGTTCTTCGCGTACATATTTTTTTTCTTTCGATCTGTTAAAATTTTAATGAAAATAATTAATAAATTTTAATCGAAACAATTTTATATAACTTTTTGATAGTTATTAATCAAATTAATTTTTAAGCAATATATGCGATCATGCTCTTGGAAAATTAAATCAGAAATTTAAGAGTTTTTCAAGGAAGATTATATTGTATATATATTATTATTATTATTATTATTATTATTAAAAGATTTTATTATAAGCATTATAAATTTTTTTGGAAACATTAATAAAATTATTTTTAATCGCATTAGATATTTATTTTCTACGCTAAATATTTCTATTATAGCCGTTTTAATTTAATAGATTTCATTATATAAAAAATATACATATCATTTATTTGCTACAACAATGACGTGTTATTTTTTAGTTGTTCGTAAAAAAAAGCGGTACATGAAAAAAAAAACGCATTAAAAGTACATTAAGACATACATTAAAAGTACATTAAAAGTACTTTTATTTCTCTATAATTATATCAGTCATTACATTCAAAGTTGTATTTCAAAATTAATATTACATTTTAACAATTCAAAATATTTAAGCTTATTTCCAGAAGGACTTAATTTTTCTAATTGTATCGCTGTTATAACAAATGAATATATAGAAATATATTATTATAT